GTATCCCATAGAATCAAATTTTTATTGATTTTCCTGATGGGAGTGAATCCAGTGGTTGGGATATGAAAATATTGCTTAGAGAAGAGTATACATCCAGGTTGCATTTATTTTTTATTTGTTAAACACTTTTGAGTATCACACTGGATAACCATCAGGTTATAACAAGAGTCAATATACATATAAGGTACTAATGTAGAGATCCACTGTCCCTAGACAAACTATAGTTGTAACTGCCCTCCAGAAACTAAAATGTCATCAAGAAGAACAAAAATTAAAATTATCATGGGTTTACTTGTAACTTCAGCAAGGATTTTAGCTTTACTTTCTTGTAATTAAAAAAGTGAATATGTATATACCAAAGACACATTTTCCAATACAATTTCTAGAACTACTTAAGGGACCAAACTGGCACTTGCAATTTGACCCCTCTACTTAATGGAAGTAGGTCCTAAAAGTTCATGAAAAGGAACTTAGCCAAGTTTCTAGTGATGACTATGTTTCCCCAAGTTCTTTTTCTATTTTTATCTCTTGAGTACAAAGTATAGGAAGAGGAAAGCAGCATTCAATTAATTTAAAGGAGTGAAACTTTTATTATTACTTAAAGAACACCACCTCACCCCCAGACTAGACCAGATTTTCAAAGGCATAGCTTCCTGAAGTAGAAAATGTGCTACCATCCTGGGGACTCCCACATTTGTTTATAAAACCTGAGGTATGAATGACCAAACAAATACAGCCTATGATAATTGGATTTGGGGACTATTACTTTCTACAAATGAAAGTAAGTCCCTAGATGCAAGATCACTCATAACTTAACTGTGAGACATCTAGTCATAGAAATTGATCTACTTAAAAAGTCACTTTATAAACCATCTGCCCATTAGAAATCCAAAAAAGTTCTGGACAGTGGACTCCTACATTTCCTTTCTCATTGTCTTTAAACTGGGACTAATGTTAGAGACCTTACAGTGTGCAATCTCTTCAGGTGGTCTTAGACATCCCATTTCTCACAGTTGGTTGACTGTTTGATTGCTTGACAACACATTCCATGTTATCTTAAAGACTTTTAAAGATGCAACTGTCTGGATAAACTCATGGGATGGCAGATCAAGGGAAGAGATTTATTTTGAACATCAGTGCATACAGTTCCTGTAAGTAGGCCAGGACATTGACCTTCTGGGCAGGAAAGGTTTATGGAGGAAGTTAACAAGTTGGTAACACTTGGGTGCCTTCTGTCTGCTAGAGGAGTTTTCCGGGTATGTGTTTTCACACTGGTACTCACTGCATAGTCACTTTATTGCCTCAGCACTGCATGGCACCTATTATCATTGTACTAGTTCCATCCCCTACTCTAAGCTCAGCTTTGTCTTTGTTCTCCATCAAAAGACGCTAAACAATTTTACAAGCACCTACTATGTGTCAGCACCGGGCTGCACACTGTTGTCACCAAGACAAAGCATCTACTGTACTGTCATGGCATCTCTGATACTATGAACACAATAGCATCTATGGAAAGCAGTGGGTCTCACACACAGTATCTGCACTTCGAGGGCCCCTTCTGTAGTAGGGAAGGCTGTCCCTAGGAACCTCCTCAGCTCAACGTCATAACTGCTGTCATCATCATATGGTAAAGATCACGTAATCTCAGAAGGGGAAATGGTCAGGTTTTTACCTCAGGAAGTTGAGAAAGACAGCTGAGCATAAACAACCTATTAGGTGGACTTCAAAGGCTGAAGGGGAGCTGATACTGGAACAGGAAGACCACTCTGTTAAGAGGAAAAAAACACATGCAATGTCTTCCAGTACCTCCGAAAACCGGGGAGGTAGCCAGAGGCCACTCACATGTTAGTGCCAGGACAGGAGCCAGAACTCATGCCCAGGTCAGTGGCCCTTTACTAACTCTTCTTCTTGACACCAGTGCATTTGAGACACAGTCTACACTAGGTAAGAACAAACTGGACAAATGATTATCTGCCCACAAGTTTCTCTCTACATGTCAGTTTCTTTTGATGCTCTGTAACTTTGATAATACAAAGTTTTAAATTACAATTTGAAAAACCAAGAATGGGCTGCCCTTGGGGAAAGAGAAGCTAGGGGCCAGTTGGTGCAGACATATGGCTTGTCCTTATTTAGTCTTTAAATAGATAATATAGCCATGAATTTTAAAAGGAAACCTGAAAGGCACAAAAGGATTTCTCTCATTTTTAATTAAAAAGATATTGTATCTGATCAAATAATTAAAACATTTTATTGAGTCTTTTTTTTTTTAAATTACAGTTTGAATTTTTTACTCCACCACCCTCCCCCCACCAAACTTAAGTAAGGTTGGTGCTGCTAATGAATCTGCTTTTGACAGCTTTGAGGATACATGAGTTTGGGTCTGAGAAGTAAGGTCACCAGACATTTGTCCTAACAGTGTGACCTCTCACAAAGTGCCATGGTCAGAGGCCAAATGTCCTATTTAATAGTCTGTCCAAATCTTTAAACTGACCATCCAATACATTCTAAAGTTTAACCCCTGCCCATTTTACCACACTCAGGGAGCTAATTTGAATAAAATAAATAAATTCTATTTATTTAAATAGAATTCTGATATGCCACTCTGTATAGTAAAATATGTTGATCTTTAGGTTGAAAGAAGTATGTTCACAATAGTCCTAAACATGCTGACCGTATTCCTCACGCTTAACTTTCAGCAGCAGTTTGGACATCATACAAACTGTAGCATCTGTCCTCTTGTATACTTTTCTGTTCTGAAAAATATGTTATTTAGAAAATACCACCCCCTATTTTTATACAACAGAGTATTATTCAGCTATTAAAAAAGATAAATTCAAGGCTTTTGTAGGTAAATGGGTGCAACTAGAGACCATACTCATAAGTGAAATAAATCCAACCCAAATGTGTAAACATCATATTGTCTCCTTGGTGTACGAACCTGAAAGACTAGGTAAAACTCAAGATGTACAATAGATGATAGGAAAGGGAAAGAAATTGCTCAAAGGAAGGAACAAGTAAGATGAGGGAAAGAAGAAAAAAGAAAGAAGGAAGGCAAAATATACATATATATATGAATAGCTGCGATAACTGTATTGCTGATGTCTGATGGTGTATTGAAGTGAACAGTTAATGCTCACAATTCTTTATGTTCTGATCGATTTTACATGCTTGTATCTGGTGGTCTGAGCAACTGATTTGAAGGTAACAATATGCAATGGAATTACAATGGTGACCTCCTACTATCTTGTCTAGTGAAACTCTGTATTATCTCTAATATTTTATCAAAGAATTATTTTCTTATTCTCTTTAATGTTTTGAGCAATCTTGCATTCTTATGTTGGGTAATCTGAACAACGTAGTTGAGGACAGCAAAATGTAATGTAACAACCACTGTTGATTCATAATATTTTGTCTTGAGGCCCTGTATCACTTTGAATGTTCTTGCTTTGATTTGTTTATGTTTGTGGTACTGGTATGCTGCCACTGTTCTATTTTTTTTTGTTTGTTTCTCATTTACTACTCTCTTTAAAATAAAAAAAAAGAAAATACCACCCCCCAAAGAATAATATAATGCAAGAACTCCTGTAATTTTTTAATTTGGTACTAGCCATATTAAAATCTTTTAAAAACCAGATAAAATTAAACTGATAGCACATTTTATTTAACCCAATATAAGCAAAATATTACCTTGTAAATGTGATTGATATACAATATTTTAATAATTTGGTTTCATGTTCTCATTGCTGTTGCTGTACTAAGCCTTCAAAAATGCATGCATTTTTGCATATATAACACATCTCCATTCACACACTAAATTTTCAGTGGTTAAATGTAAAATGTAATTCTATCAAAATAATCAAACTGTTTTAAGGGAAAATATTTACAGTACTTCTGTTTTGAAACAAGTCAATGCAAGTTAAATAAAATTTAAAATTCAGTTCCTCAGTTACACTAACCACGTGTAGTTAGTGGCCATGCTTAAATAGAGTGGACCTGGAAGTAGGCATGATGGCAAACAAATGTTGGAAGCATCAGCATCTTCCCTCAGCAAACCATAAGAGGATTAAGCGTCAGAAGGGGTCGGAGAAGAAGCACATAAAAGGTCATATAGAGCTAAAAATTTTAGAGTTAGACTAGATTATCTCTGTTGATTTTTATCTATGGCATCGTTAAGCTTCACTTTTCTTAGCTGTAAAATAATAATACCTGCATTACTGAGCATCTCACATTAAATGAGGTAAACTTACTACCAGGCTTCTAAGATTAAACAAGATAATCAAAGCTGCTGCTTTGGCACAGGTCTAATTCATTATGTCTATTTTATTAGCATCTATAGAAGCCGTGGAGTCCATTTGCATTTAAGAGAGGGGAACCTCCGAGGAGATCATAATTGTACTAATTACTTGTGAGATGTAGGGTGGAGAGAGAGGAACTGTGATATGTACATTTAGAAAATTTAATTGCATTATAAAATATACATAGAAGAGTGAACCAATTGTAAGCATGCAGATCAATGGATTTTTACAAAGTACACTTTCCTATATACCAAGCACCCAAATCTGGAACCAGAACATTAAGAGAATCTCAAAACCCTCCTCAAGTTCCTAACCAAAGGACCTATTCTCCTGAATTCTAATACTATAGATTTGTTTTGTCTACTTGTAGCCTTTACATAAAAGGACTCAAATAGACTGTGTTCTTCTTTAGCACAATTTATTTGTGTGATTTATCCACATTGTATGTGGTGCAGTGGTTCATTCTCCCTCTTTGTATTATATTCCAGTATGCAAATATCCTATATTGTAGTTCCTCCAAAGCTCTCTACTTTGCATACATGGGGCCTCTGTCCTTGTGTTATTTATTCATTTTACATTTTATTCAATGTATTTATTCACTTTACAGTAGATGAATATTTGGAATTTGGAATATCTGGAATTTTCATTTTCAATCTCAGACTTAATAGAAAGATAAGAATCACTCCTTGTAAATTTGATGTGCAGGTACCGTGGATAAACATAAGGAGTTGGAGGATCTCTTGGCCAAGTTCCTGAGTGTAGAAGCAGCAATGATTTTCGGGATGGGATTTGCAACAAACTCGACAAACATCCCTGTACTAGTTGGAAAGGTGAGAATTTGTTAGCATAATTATCTTCTAGCATATTATTCCTAACAACTATAACTCAGAGCAGATCCTTTGTTAGAAGTATGACTGAAAAGTCCTTTTCTAGTGAGCAGATGATTGGATGCTCAGATTTTTTAATGAGTGTTCTAGCATGTCCAGAAAATCACTTTATGTTGATGTTCCCAGTTATAAAAATGCCAGCTTGCGTGTGGGTCTGAGTTCACATCAATGACAGCTTAGCAAAGTCAATAAGTTTTACACTCTTTAGTACCCATTTGCAATGTAGCAGATATTTATTAAGCATTTATTTTTATAAAATTTTTTTCTAGCTTATCCATTCACTTACTCATTTAATCAACTATTCATTGAATGTACTGTTCTGGCATTAAGCCAGACACAAGCAATACAAAGGTGAACAAGACCTGTGCCTTGTAAATTCATGTGGCTTGCAATCTAGTAGGGAGGCATATGACAACAAAAACATGCACATAACATGACAGGAGACAAAAGAGTTGCCCCAGCGTCCCCTTGAGAGTGTCTGCTATGCCTGTGCAGGAGGGTGACATAAGAAGAGAATTTTAACAGGCAAGTAAGTTACTTCCTTAACACAAGGACAGAGGCCCCATGTATGCAAAGCAGAGAGCTTTGGAGGAACTACACTATAGGATAGCAGTCAAGGAAGAGACAGGAGTTGAAGGCAAGTGTCAAACCCCAAAGAGACCTACAGTGTAAGTCATTCCAGAGTGTTTGAAATTGTTCCTGAGAAAAGAGGAAAGTTGGTTATTTAAGTTAAGCAAGTGTAATAATCAGATTTATATTTTTTAAAAATCAAATGACAGCCAAGTGTGACATGTGATCTTAGATCGGGTTCTGCACTGAGAAAAAGGAGAGAGAATATCTATAAAGGATGTTCAGATAGTACCAGGACAGTTAAGGAAATTTGAATTATATATTATATGCTAGTACTGTATAAACATGGAACTTCATAGATAGGATAATTGCATTGTAGTTTTGTAGAATCTCCTTGTTCTGAGTAGATATGGCTAAAGAATAAAGAGGTGAAGTGTCAGAAGGTTTACGACAACTCTTATTAATATAAACACATGTCTACAGTACAGAGATATGACAGTTTCACTCAGAAACAAAATACATTATGAATACCAAGATGTAAGAACTCAAAGATTCTGAGTAGCCACAAAAGGCAAAAGTCTACCATGACTTATTCCTGCATTTTTTGATATGTTGGCACAGTTCTATAATTTACACATTTTAAAATTAAAAATAAAAATTTACACACAGTAATTAATCAGTAGAATATTAGTCTGAGTTTTTCCATTCACCCTCAAACTGCAAATTGGCATCCACACTCTTCCAAATTCAAAATCTTGAAGTATAGAGCAGGGGCGTTTCTGTTTGCATGGGATGTTTATACAGTGGAGGAGCATCATAAAGCAAGAACCTGAAATGCTCTGCTAGAAAGACCCTGCCTCCCAGTATCAATATCTAAAACTATCCCATCCAATCTAACATAGATTGAAATCCCCCAGCAAGTCCATATCCCTCTCCCAAATGAGCTTTCCTGTCAGAGATCAATCTACCTTGTGCTTAACATAGACCTTGGGTGAACTCTGTTGAGAACTACAGTATTTGTAAAGACTCCAGTAAAGACTGAGTCTCTCAAGACAGTTCCCATTTCTATAAGCTAACTGCCATGAACAATTTTACCAACATACACCCCAGTTTAAACTCCAGGCCTTTGAAAATCAAAGAGGGTGCCAGGCATCTGTGTTACTGGTTTCAGAATGTCTTCCTGTTCCCACAGGTTTTCTTTCCCTCCTTTGATTTATTTCCGTGTGTTCTGTGTGCTTGTTTCCTGCACAGGGATGCCTCATTTTAAGTGATGAGTTGAACCACACCTCTATCGTCCTCGGGGCCCGACTCTCAGGTGCAACCATAAGGACCTACAAACACAACAGTGAGTAACAGTGCACTCATCTAACAGGTCCCGATTTGCTACCAGAACAAGGGAACGATTATTGATGAGGTTTTCCCTTGCTCTTCAAACTGGCAACTTAGCCTAATGAAACACCATGTTTATATTCACTGGTGGTTTGTTCACCTCTGGTGACCCGGGACAAATGGCTGAAGTGTATTAACCATCCAGATTGCTAAGTGTAAACCAAACACATTAATGTCACTCTCAGTGTTCATGCAGTGTGACCTCTGCAGACATGATTGATTTCTTAGGACTCTCATTTATTATCAGAAGTGTGATAACTCTCCCCATCTTGTGACTCTGCCTTGGGAAAGTCTGAAGACTTTTCATATCATAGGCAAAAAAGGAGCTTATTTCTTGGTATGATGCCTCCTCTCACTATCCCCACATACAAAATGTTCAAAAACTGGTCCCCCCAAACCATCTCCTTATATGATTAAAATGTCCCCTCTGACTCAGGTGGGGTGGCTGGGTGGTGGTGAGAAGGAAGACAAAGACTACTTCCTGTTTAGACACCTGACAAAGCAGCACGGGAAGCCTTTGGAAGCACTGGGAAGGAAGTAGGCAGTGGCAGACACCTGTGCTTCTTCATCTGGCTCTGCCCCTGACTTGTGTCACTTTTGGGAAATCCTTTCATCTTGCTTGAATTCAGTTTTAGTATCTAACTAATGAGGGTATTGAACTAGATAATGGGTAAAAGTTTCTTAGTTGAAGGTTCTGATTCTACTGCATTGTTATCAGAGACCTCTTCTGTTTTATGTGTATGTACATGCATAAATGCACACTCTCTTTTCCCTTTCTGAGTGCCTTTCTCTCCTGCTGTCCCTCCCTCTCCATGTTTCCCTGTCTCTCTGCCTTAGCATGCTCCTCCTCCCTCCAATGGAGAAATGAGGAAGAAAGTAAGGAAAAAGAGACTGATAGAGCGTAGAAAAAGAATTGCCCCAGCTCTGTTTTGCCCAGTTCATAGCAAGCTCAATCCAAAGAACAGTCATCCTAACAGGGAGAAGAGACAATGTGTGAGTATATTCTCAAGTGAATCCCCCTCCTTTCTGACATGTAGAGTTGTTCAAATGAAAACTCTCCTGCTCTCCCTGAGTCTAACTATGGCTTACTGAAGCCCTTTTAGCCTCTTTCTGAACACAAATACTCTAAAGTTTAGAGTCTGGTCCCCCAGAATAACTACACTGTGCACCTTTCTATCCAATCTTCATATCCAATCTATCCAGTACTCAGTAGAACATTTTCTACTGAAAATATTCTGACCATGCTTATTAATTTTTCAACAACTAATCTTGGTTTTAGTCTGTGGTAAGCCTAGTTAAATTTCTTCAGTTATGCTTGATTCATCATTGATTGTCAGTTGTCATAGGTTGAAATTATTTTGGCAATGTTGGACATCACCTTTGCAGTATGTATCTTTTAGGGCTTCAAGACACACTTATCAAGAAACCAGAGCAAACACCTTTAGTATTAGTACAGGTATGTTTTGTATGCTCTTTTGATTCTTTAGGATGCAGCTGATTAGTGATCAAAGCCTCTGTCTACTTAGGAAAGAATAAAGGAAATAACCAACAGTTCTTTAACTGTAGGTGGTTAAATATAACTCCTGTGAAGACATAACCTGACTGTTTTGTATAAGAACAAATGAGTGGACCATTGTCTATGTTAATGTCTTAGTTACTTTTCTCTTCACTGAGACAAAGTACCAGATACACAAAGTTAAAAGAGGAGTGGTATATTGATCTCACAGTTTGTAGAGGTTTTGATCCATAATTGCCTGGCTCCAAGGCAGGGTGGCATGGCAGAGGGGCATCGCAGAGAACAGTTCATGGTGCTGACAAGGTAGCAAAAGCAACATGGGAAAAAAAGACAAGCCTCTTTCTGTCCCTTATGTTGTATGCAGGCTACCCACCCTAGAGCAGGTGTAGCACTCACACCCTTAATCCTAGCCAGAACTGTGCCAAACCAATCAGTGCACTTGTTTACTAGTCACACACCCTTAATCCCAGCACCACACTCTAGATTCAGCCACCTCTGAAAAAGCCTTATGACAACATGAGGCTTTGGGGGGACATGTAGACACAAACCTTACCAGTTAATGTCTCATGTGTTTACTTCATTTTGCCAAGAGTAATGGCCCATGACCCTAGTTGCACAACAGAGTCATCTGGGGAACATTTTTGAAAGACCAATGCCTTTGTCCACCTCCAGGCCAGCTGAGTTCATATAGCTGAGTTGAAGTATCCCTGGTTCTTGCCAGTATGCCCTAGGATATGTCACCAGGATAATACTGTCATACTAGCTCCATTTTCCTCTCATTGTTTTTTATAAGATAATGTCCTAGCTATTAGAGAGTCTACAATCTAGTAGGAAAGACAGTTATGTATGCAAATAGCTGTATTGAGGATCAAAGCAAACAAGGGCCACGTTGACACTAGACAGTGGTTAAGGCCACAGGCTTTGGCCACAATCCCTTTGCACATTCATAAGAATAGCTGCTATTAAAAAGTTGACAAACATAAATGTCAGCAAGGATATAGAATGACTGGAATTCTGGTCAGTTGCTAGAGAATGTAAAATGGTTCAATGCCTTTGGAAACTCTTTGGCAGTGTATTATAAAGCTGAACATATCTCTACACTATGACTCACAAACTCTACCCTAAGTATTTACCTTTGAGAAGTAAAAGCCATGTCCCCAAAAAGGCTTGTGTAAGAATTCATAGCAGTTTTTTCATAACATACAAAAGCTGGAGACAATTTGAATATCTATCAATAGGAAAATGGAAACATTTTTTATTACTTATTCACACATAAAATATCACTCTACAATAGAAAAGAAATGATACTAATACCATGCAATTTGGATGAATCTCAAGGAAAATATTTAATGGAATAAACCAGACATAGAAGAGTATACACACAAATATGAATTCATTTATAGCCAGTTCAAAAATAATCCATAGTGATAGACATTACAGAAATGCTTGCATCTGGTTGCAGGAGAGGGAATTTGTGGGATGAGACATAAAGGAAGTTTCTGAAAGTGATGGAAATATGTGATACCTTGATTGGGATGAAGATTACAGTCTTATTAAAATTAAATGAAGAGTAAACTTAAGTTCTATACATTTCCCTTCATGCAATCTTTATCCAAAAACTATCATTCTTAACAAATAGCATACATAAAATGAAAATAATTGATTCACTCTTTTGTAAAAAAAAGGTACAGTCTTGGACCCAAGTGTTTACATCCTTATTCTATAGTGTATCAGCCTGTAGTCCTAGACAAATTACTTGACCTTCTAGATCTCTATTTATATATTCTCAAAATGAGGATGACTGTCTTACCCACCGCATGACATGTTGAAAGAAGTATATAAAGTGCTTAGTACAAAGTCTGTAAATGGAAATAACTGAATTATTTTTACTACTGTGCTATTACTAGTATTCTTCTCCTCATCACTGTCATATTAAATGTCCCCAAGGGACAGGAGAAAACATTATGATAAGTCAGAAGACAGAATACATTTCACCTTGAGGATTGCATGAAATAGATAATATTTGCAGTAGACATTAACGAAAGGACTAAGAAAATATTACACACAGAATAAGACATTTCCAACAGAGGGATAAAGCAACAAGACTTCCAGGATGGCCTGAGTGTGGGGTCAACTCCCTGGAGGACAGACTGAAAACTAAGACCTTGGCTAGGTAGTACAGAGCTCTTAACGTGCATGGCAGCTCAAGAAGCATCAAGACGTGCCTGAGAAGTAGGGTCTCTACGTCTATGGGTGCACTGACTTGTTTAAAATATTTTACTGTCTTCCCATGTGCCCAGTGGAGACAGAAACAGAGAGAAGGCTTTGAATGAAGTTAAAGCTTTGAATAACACTGAATGAAAAAAACATACTGTAGATTGTGAAGACTGTCCCCAAAGCAATGGTGTCTCACACTTTTTCTACACTTCATGTGGTATTATTTGGAATTCAAATTCTGTTATTGACTAGTCTTCCACTGGAGGTTCTACAGAAATGATAGAGATAGATAGATAGATAGATAGATAGATAGATAGATAGATAGAAAGATGATAGATAGATAGATAGATAGGTAGATAGATAGACAGATGATAGACAGACAGACATACACACGTCTAACTAACTGGGAGACTAAGTACAAGTTTTGCTAACCCCTGATTTAGCATCTGTTTTCCAGAATGTTGTCTTTATTATTAATATCATTAATGTAGTTTATTAATACAATAATTCCCATTTTACTTATTTCTAAAATACTTTTATTTTTAATTTATACATAATAGTTTTATATATTTTGTCATTCTTTGTGTTGTGAACATTCTACTCAGCTTCAGGCTATTAGGGTATCAGTCTTCCAAGATGGCCACCAGCGCTTCCCATCTCTCGGTATTTATGCCTTTATGTGGTCTATCCCAGCATTCTGTCAGGGTTATTCTGTGGGATGAAAAGAATAAGGTTTGCCACGCATGGTGGTACACACCTGTAATCCCAGTGCTTGGGAGGCTGAGGCAGGAACATCACTGTGAGTTCAAGACCAACCTGAGCTACAAAGTGAACTCAAGGCCAG